CACTTTCCCAAGCAAATACCATTATTGCAAATTACATCAAATGTTGTTTAAAGGTCTGTTGTGTACTTCAATCCGCGCTTCTCAATTGCCTCAACCATCTTGACTGTTTTCTTGGGTTAAATCCTTTATTTCATTAACTAAATCTTGAACTCTTGAATTTGAAGAAGAAGCCAAATTGCTTATAACTCGTTCGCATTCTCGTATTTCTTCTTTTAAAATGGTTGAATATGGAGAAGTAAAAGGTTTGAAAACTGCTCCTCATTGCCCAGAATAATTAATTCCTAAAGCAATCATATAAGCAAAGTGTTCGCAATTATTGCTATGTGTATCATATTTATACTTACCATACTCAGAAGCAATAGCCTTTGCTATACCTCCAATCATTTCTTCTCTATTTTTAAACCTGACAATGGGGCGAGTAACACATATATGACTTTTTTCATTTCCTTTAAAAAAGTTACTTAAAGTATCTTTTATTACTTTCATACCGATACTATCACTTCCACTACTTTCTGAATTAGAACTCCCTGTGAAATGACAAACATAACCTTTTCCTAAATAAATTCCAACATGTTTAAAAAAACCACCAATTCTATTTGCTTTAATAATATCAAAGGGTCTTAAATAGTCATCTGCTTCTCCTGGCGAAATAATCAAATAATGAGTTCAAGTGCTTTGATAAAGAGTGCGTTTAATGTCATCGGCTACCGTATCATAACCATAATTATCCATTTTGTATTCTTTACCATTAAGGAAACTTGTAATAGGAATAATAGGAAGTCGACGATCGTGTTCTAGGTTTTTCAACCTGCTATTCATTTCTGTCGCTTTTTCTTTTGCTTCACTTAATGTTCAGTGGGTGGAAACCTGAAAGACTTGTAAATTACCATGTCCTCACCGTTGGGGTTTATCGAAAACAACAATACGAACTGTATAATCTCAAGAATGTTGATGAATTACTATAAAAAACATATTGCTCAGTAAAAGAAACATTAAAATAGTGTCAATGACGGCGTTTCCCTGATATATTTGCTTTATTTTGAATTATTTCTAATATTTTTTCTCCACTTAGCATAATATTAGTTTTATATTTTTGTTAACTAACCAAGTGAAATTTCGTATATTGTCAAGAGAAAACAAGTAGTGCAAACTTCTACGTTATTGCCTTAAAAGTCAGTCGAAAGAAATCTTTGAGTTTTGATTATCTGGCTGTCGCTGTTCTTTATCCAATTTTGTTATCTCCCGAAAGGTTAGGAGTTTTCGTTTTTCCCCAACTAACTTTCTGACTTGGTTTGTAAAAAAAATTATAGGAGAATAATGAAAAAAGGCTTAATATTTTTAGAATCGGCTACTAAAAAAAAAACTATCCAGTCATTCTTGGGCGAAGAGTACACGATATTTGCCACCGGCGGACACTTATGAGAATTAAGAAAAACCGGAGTGTATAATTTAGGAGTGGATTTGGAGAATTTTAGCCCTTCTTATGACATAATTTCCGAAAAAAAAGGTTTAATTAGTGCTTGAAAGAATTACTTAGCCAAGGAAAAAAATTTAATAATTTACCTAGCGACTGACCCCGACCGTGAGGGCGAAGCGATAGCCCAAGAAGCTGCTAAATCCTTAGGGGTAGACCCCTTAAAATGCCAGCGCTTACTTTTCTATGAGATAACACCGCGGAGTATTAGGGAAGCCTTGAATAATCCTTTGACTATTAACCAAAACGTGGTCGAATCACAACTTTCTCGGCAAGTACTGGACCGCATGATTGGCTTTTGCCTGAGTACAATGCTGCAAAAAAAACTGCAAGCTTTATCAGCGGGTCGAGTGCAATCAGTGGTTTTGAAATTAATTATTGAACGGGAAGAACTAATAAAAAAGTTTGAAAAAAAAAAACTTTACATCATTTGCGGAATTTGCCAAGTCAAGGACCAAAAAATAACTCTGAAACAAGTTGATAAGTTTGGTGATTTGGTCCTTTATAAGGACAAAAGTGAAGCCGAAGAAATTAGGAAAAAACTAAGTTTAATTTTTCAACTAATCGGCAAAAAGGAGGAAAAAAAGTTTATTTTGCCAAAGTCTCCCCTTATTACTTCTTTATTATTATTCGAGGCCAAATCACAATTAGGATTTTCAGTGGCTCAAACTACTCAATTAGCCCAAAAACTCTATGAGGGTGCTTGAGTAAGTGCCAAAAGAAAACAAGTCGGATTGATTACCTATCCTCGTACTGACTCAACTCGTATTAATCAAGAATTTACAAGCTTGGGAAAGTT